CCTCTCGCAAAAACCTTCCCAGACTAACACCTCGGGTCCCAAGTCCGCCAGCCACAACAGTGTGAATTCCTCAGGGAGGTGCCAGTCTCATCCTCTTGTATCTCCCACGCTCCTCTGGCGAGCTAAGAAAATGTTTATCTCCCTGAGCCTGGCCTTCATAATTCCATTCCATCACAGGTTTCTTTCCTAATAACTCAGACTGCTAAGCCCTAGAATTGCTACCTAAACAATCCTGAAAATATCCTGGAAAGTAAACACCTGAATAAATACAGATATTTGTAATCGCATGCAGGTCACATCACTTGGTTTGTTGAACCAATTCATTTTGTCACCAAGGTGTCCTGCAAAATTTGCATTGTTTCTACAGGGGAGAAAGGGCTGTATGGATAATTTGGTACAGTCCCTTTCTCCTCCTTGTCCTACCTGTTGAGGGTTCTTTGGTTTCTTCAGAACAGCCACATAAGCCTTATGTTTGACCATGGTTGAACAATTTTGATAAAGTTGCAATCCTAAGTAGGGGTACTTTTCAATGAATGCAATGGGAATTTCTAAGTAAAACGTGTTGAGACATGGACTCCTTGCAGGAACTGGATGAGGTCCAATGCTACAGGACAAACATATGTCCTCACTATATTTGCTGTGGGGGGAAGATAATTGCGGCCCCTCGGGTGTGGTGGAACTACAACTCTCACTGTTCCCCATCTGCATGGTGAGGGAATTGTAGTCTGTCAACATGAGGATTGTCATCAGTTCCTCACTGAGTCTATTTCATCCATTTCCCCATCTCCCAGAAAGCATATAGGTTGCTTCTGGCAGCAACTTTGCTCTGCCTTTTACAGACGAGCTGATATGCATCAAAAGAGGATTTGTTGTTGTGTTAGTGTCCAAGGAATGTGACAAAAATGAATAGGAAGGAGAAATGAAGGCCAGGCTGAATTAATAAGCAACTTAAAGAAGTTTAATCAAGAAAATGGAAGAGCAGACACTAACTAGAATGTTGAATGACCATAAATAAGCTAATTGTCACCGGTCTGTTTCCTGAAGCCATTCTGTTCCATTTGTTTACTGCAAGTGTAAACACCACTC